CTTTAGTTAAATAGATAATGTTATAAAATACTTATTTAATAAGAATCTTGGTAAACAAACATTGAAGAAATATGATAGCATATTTGAAGATATTGTTTTTGCTATACAATCGTATTTTCTATTTTTTTTTTTTGTCGTACCTCTTATTATAATTATCTATGTTTGGTATTGATTCATTGATTTATCATATATATGATCTAGATCATAAGCTAATTTTACAATAGGATCATGGTCATTGAATTCACAGTCACGCAAATATCTCTTGATTATTTAACATACTTTATAAAGTGAAGAGAGCCAAATTGATCTGAAAAGCCAAATTGGCCTTGATGTCTTGGAGGCCAGTTAAGCCCCTCAAGGGTCGTTCTGGACTATTTAAGCCAAAAAAGGGTCGGACAGGTATTATTTAGACCCCTTCAAAATCTGAATAGGCCCAAACAAATTCTACTATGGAACTTTTTTCTCAATTTGGCCCATCCGAGAGCCAAGAAGGATTTATCAATTTGGCCCCAACAAGGTGCAATGCTACAAATGACTGATTGTTGGCCCAAAATTGTCAAGGACAGATGGAAGTTCCGTCACGATTAGAGCGACACAAGGACGTAAGGATTGGGGAGTGTGAAAGGGTACACCGGTAAAACTAGATCTTTAACGCAGATGAAACCACGATAGACTATCGATCGGCTTACTCAACTTAATGCTGTGACCTTTTAAACGATTAAAATTTTGTTTTAAGGCAATTTCCCTTCGTCCCTCTTTCGCTTGTGCGTCATAGCATGCAGCTCCCTCTGCGTATCACATTCGTCGAACCTAGACCGCGTGCGCCGGACGCAATAATAAATTATAGTAGCACTGAGGAGGTTGTTTCTTGAATCCAGTCGCATGGCTTTTCTCTTGAGACTTATCATCTAGTTCAATAACTCTTTTCAATCCTCTTTTTAGTTTTTCTTCAGTAACACTAGTTTAATGATCTGAATCATCAATAAATACAATGTATTTATTGATGATTCAGATCATTAAACTAGTCATGTTACCGAAAAAAAAATTGCTTTCTTTCTTTTTATTTCTTCTTTTATTTTGACCTACAGTAAATGGTTTTGTATGTACTTTTGAAACTGTAATTCTTGGTAAAAGTATACGTTTTTCCTTTAAAGTTTTGTTCTTCTCAAAGTTAGTGGATTTTCCGTAGAATTTTTGTTCTTGGTAAAGGTACTGGTTGTAGGTTAGACATAATTTCTTCTTTCAGTTGTAAGAACATTTTTCTTTGTTCTTGGCAAAGGAACAGGGTTTTTTACTAAACTCACTTTTCATGGTTTTAAAAAGTTTGTTTTCTTTGATTAACTTTTTTACTGAACAAGTGCACAAAGTTCAGTTGCGTTCATTACTATATATCATATAAAGATTTTGATTTTAAATATATTTTTTTGACAAGCGCATTTCAGTGTATCATTAAAACACTTGGTGATGAATGAGAAATGGGTTTGTATAAGCATTATAAAATGGATTTCTGAATAAAGTTTCGTAACGCGTGACAAGAATTTTGTACAAAAATATTTGAGTGAAAAAAATACCGCGTTTATAAAAAATGCAGCTGAGAGCTTGTAGGATAGAAGAAGTAAACTAATGCGCCGGCAGGTCCTTTTTCCGTCCATCATAAGCCACACGTCATTTGTCTGTCTACATAATTGTCCTACTCTTTGACCTTTTTTTTTTGACCATATTTCCTTGGGCTGCAATATTTCATTGCATCAGAAACAAACACTGGACTGAATTTAGCTTCAAGATGAGTTGGAAATTTGAGGACATAAAGAATGAATTAAACGAGCCATAACTGACTCCTAAAGACAGGTTAATAGCTAGTATAGCGATACACCACGACGATATTTTTCTGTCTGTGGTTTGTGAGGCATGCATCTATTTCAGTAACTTTTCAAACTGGCGAAATAAAGCGATCAGGTTAAGTATATTACTTATTTTTGCCTAACAAAATTTTTTTCTACGTGGTTTCATTAATGAGATGTCATAGTATAAAGTGGGAGCTATACAAAATTGACTGGAAATGAACTGCAATGACGGGGTGGGACTCATAAAGTGGGTCAAAAGAATATTGCGTGAATCAACCAAAATACTTCAGCTCCTTCCCATATTCGATAGATAATGAACAGTACCAGGGATTAAGTTCTGTGCCCTCAACAATTGCGAATCCTCCTTGAGAACAGGCTGCAGCACCCAGGAAAATTGATGCTCACCTCCGAGGATTATCGTTTTACTTGATTTTCATCCGCAAGTCAATTGAACTTCATTTAATTAAATATTAGGCTCAGATTCCTCCACAGGAAAGAAAAACTCTCAAAAGTTCTCATTGCTCCTAAGGTGTGGATTCATAGTTGGCTAGTAGCAGCGCCCAACTAGTATCTGAGCGGCATACACAGGACGAAATTACAAGAATCCGTAAACGGAAACGTGGCAGAAACATGTTAAACCGTTCCGGAAACACGACGGATAACCTGTGTTTCCGTTACCGGTTTCGTGACGTTTTCTCGCGTTTCCGTTGCTGCGTATACAACGGAACCGGACCACTTTTACGTAAACATAACGGAAACATGGAGTTGCATGTTTCCGCCACGTTTCAGAAATACGGAAACATGTGATTTCGTCCTGTGATAGGTTTGAATCCTATCGAAGTCTAATATTTTCAAGCTTCTTTTCTGCAGTGGTCAAATTACAGCGTGTCATCCCATTATTCCCTGTTTTCCCGTGGAGGGTTACAAAAGTTCCCTTGTGATTATTGAAGTTGAAGTGTGCCGTCTGCATGCAACGCTTCAATCAGTTTTTTGCCGTCTGCATGCGACGTCTCAATCAGGTTTTACAAAGGAAGGCGATTAAACTCAACACACTACGAGTATTTTAGCTTAAAATGACCGATCGCTTTCACTATTTTGGAATAAATTTAAGATTCTCTAGCGCCGAGCTAAGACAGCTAACGCTAAAGTTTTACGATGTGCAGTTTTGATAATTTGTGTAATAGAACAACAGAACTGATGATAACTGCGTCAAAACAGCCTTTCAAAAGGTCAATGGCAATCATTCCTTTCACCGAAGAAGTCTTCTTTACCTTCTATTATTTGATAACAGATGAATGAGAAATATTAATCAGTTTTTTTCAACTACCTTTTCAAGTAGCGTGAAATTGTTCCCTTTCTCGTTTTCTTTTGGCAAAAGAACCAATTTTTTTGGAAAAATTGTCGTTACCTAA